CCGAAGATATACGCACATGACGAGGTTGAGCAAAATCTAAAAACAGCTCAAGATGCCTTGTGGGAAATATATGCAGATTATGTTGTTGAGTGCAATGTTTCTAATGAGGGATTTTCATCTACAATTGATCATGCCAGTTCCTCAAGTCATTTTGACGCAATGTTTGGGTTTCAAGATTTTGTTGTAGCTTCCGGTTCTGTAGAACCATCGAAACCCGATTTACAAGTATACCTTGAAGAGGGATTATTCGTGGGTTCTAATGAAAATTTTGATGTGCTCGATTGGTGGAAGATGAATACATTGAAGTACCCCCAACTTTCAATTATGGCTCGTGATATTCTATCAATACCTATAACAACGGTTGCCTCAGAATCAGCTTTTAGTGCAGGCGGTAGGGTCTTGGATGATTACAGAAGTAGTTTATCTACTAAAACTGTTAATGCATTGATTTGTGCTTCCAGTTGGATTCGCTCTACTCAACAAAATGCAAAGACAATAACTGTAATCAAATGATTATAGTGTATTTCACTACTTTATTTATTCGCAATAGTAGATACTAATTTGCTTTTTTCTTTTTTTCAGCAAGACATACTTGATGAGGAAAAACTAAATATTCAATTTCCAAAAATATGAAGCCAATTTAGCCTTCGTTTCAGTTTTATGAAGCTTGTTGCCAGACATCCTTGATGAGCAAAAATATTTATTTTTTTTTTTTTCAAATATGATTTTTAGTGATTACATTAGATGATTTGTTGGTCTAATATTGGCCGGATTTGTTTGACCTGTTGGAATTTGGGCATTATTCCTGCTGAGATGGAAATATACTCTTACATTCACTCACTTGTGTGCTTTGAATATTTATTAATTAGATTCTTTATACATGCTATTTATCTATTAGTTGCTGAGGCTTTCAGCTGACATGTAAATATAGATGGGATACTGACATTAATCCATATTCACTCACTTGTGTGCTCACTTGTGTGCTAAGGCTTTATGCATATAAATATAGATTCTTTATACATTCACTCACTTGTGTGCTAAGGCTTTGAATATACTTCCTGCTGAGATGGTTGCCATTAATCTCATCTTTAGTTTGTGGGGGCCAAGCTTAGTCTTTTACTTTGGTCGATACAATGTGCAAGTATGTAGTTGCATTAATAAAGCTGCTGCCTTTGGGGTTTTGTAAGCTTAACCCATTACAAGAGGTATAAAAACCAGGTTTCTGCTAATAGGGAGTGAAGGCTGTGATGGTTACAAAGATTCTACATTAGTATGGATTCTGTTTAGCAACTAGGAAGCTATTTGGTCTCTTAATTTATGCTTTCTTGGCATCATTACAGTGGTGA